CTACCCGGTAAGGACAATAGCGCCCGCTCGTTCCCCACCGCATACACCTGCGGTCCGGAGTTTTGCAAATATCTCAGCATCAATAGAGTTATATTTCGTAATACACCCCGCCGTTAAAAGCAGTAGGCAGTAGATAATAAGTTAAAAACTCGTGTTACCTACAACAATAGAATCGTGTAGCTGCTTGATGCTATACGTTTTCATTTCGGGTAAAACTTGATACTTGATACTTGAATGACCAGTCCTCACTGGTTGTGCGGGCTCCAACTTAACCTCCACTTTTTGGAGATTTGCTAGTTAAGCCATTGTGGCTCCCTGGAATCCCGAGGGCAGCCTAGCCAAACTCTGCCCCAAGTCTTCACCACGGCAATCAGTCGCAGCTCATGTGTATCATAGGGAAATTTGCCACCAAGCGACTTTGATATCTGGACGGTGGTGGATCCTGGTATTGGTTTACTCTAAGCGGGACTACTCGATGGGAACGCCGGCTAAAAACCTTAAGATAACTGCGAAGTTATTTGAAACATGATTTTAAGGCATCATCAAATTTAATGGAGGAATCAAATTTCCCGGTTAATATAAAACCTACCGAAAAATAATTCAATACTTTGCTAAAAACATTGTACAACTATCGTTTCGTAATAGCATTGCACATGGAAACTCGAAAATAGAGGTTCATAAACATAGTAAAGACATTTCCTTCCAACGTTATGACTAGCTTAACTCTTTTATTTACTGCCTTTTTCTTCTTAATGGCAGGGTATGTTGTGAAATATAACTCGTATGAAGTGCTGAGATATTTGCAAAACTCCGGACCACAGGTGTATGCAGTGGGGAACGAACACGCGTTGTCCGGGTCCCGGATGGTGTAGTGGTGAAGTGCGCTGCTCCCCGGTAAGGACAACAGCGCGTGTTCGTTCCCCACTGCATACACCTGTGGTCCGGAATTTTATAAATATCTCAGTACTTCATACGAGTTATGACTAGCCTCACACACTGCTCCCAAGCTTTTGCTCTGCTCCTATAAGCTTCGATAATTCAGCCAGTCTTCCTTCCGAATGTCATGACAATTCCATGCATAGAACATCTAGTGATCTCTCAACATTACTAACCTTAATTAAATATTAATTAATCGATAATTTACATACGTCAGCTACACTGACAATTATCTTTAAATTTTTCCTTCCATTCCTTACATTGTCAACTTCAAATCGAAACAGTATCAGTTTTCCGCTTGCTATTTGTCCAGCTATCAAATCTCTACAAGTGTTACTTGCCTTGATCTTGAGCATTCCTACGAAAAATATGAAAAGTGGGCGAGGAAATATTCCAAACTCAAATATCGCCTCTAACCTACAGGTGCTATCCTCTAGATGATTGTCGAATAACTCTTGTTCCTGTCGTATGTGGGGGTATCTTAGCTGTGCTTTCTCTTGAGATTCGAAAGACTATCTTTTTCAACTAGAATTTTTTGACAAATCTGACGGGCCCAGTTTTTAATGGCTTTTGCCGACCAGTTGTCATTAAAGTGAATGCATCACATGTTCAGCAAACCTGCCTTTTGTTGGCGTATACGGCGGCCTCTCTGTTTTTTGGTTTTCCCTACTTTGCAGCTTCATACTGCCTATCTCTCTTGTTTTACAAGGGATACTCTTATTAGCATCACGTTCTCGACAGTGCGTTCGACTGCGTTGAATAATCTTCAGCTTCGTCTCTGAGACTCGCGTTGATGCAATAGAGTTCGCAGTGTTTTACCTTTTATTTTACGCCTACAACAATTTTCACGGCAGGGTACTAAGCGAAATACAACCACAACGTTGCTGAGATATTTCGGAAACTCTGAACCGCAGATGTCCATGGTGGGGAACGAACGCGCTATTGTCCTTTCCGGGGAGTAACGCGTTCACCACCATACCATGCGGGTCCTTTGTTTCGCCTGTCTCTCAGCTAGTTCTATCGATAAGCGCCATCAGCAATCACCCTTCAAAAAGACGATAGTGCGTTCGTTCGCTTCCATAGAAACCTGCGGTCCAGAGTTTTCCAAATATCTCAGCAACGTTTTAGAGTTCACAGTCTCAACATTTTACTTTACCGCCGACTCTTTTTTCATAGCAGGGTATGATGTAAAATACAACTACGTGGATGTTTAGATATGAGAAAACTCGACACCTTAGACGGGCTTCCCATCCGCAATTGCTGTTTTTTACAACTCGCCTTCACACCTACTGCGCGGGTTCCAACACTTACCGCATTCAATTCGTTTCCTCGCATTCGTCACCTATAAAAGTTTTCCAACTTCTTACGTGTGGCTCTGGCTGCTGTTTGAAAATTTTCGTTCCGTTATGAATATTGATGAATCCTGGTCGAGTCGATTCTTCTTGGTGTTATGAGAAAGCCAGGTTAGAGTGTTCCTGCTTGGATTTTGGAGAGTAATTTTTTCCTAGACAAATCCGCCAGCAGTTTTCCGACTCCGCAAGGATGAGAGGTTTGGTGAGCCCGAAGTGGGATTGAATCAGTACTGTGCTCATGATTATCGATACCATTATGACTGTGCCACCCGACCCCTAATTATTCTTGCCAGGGAAAGGCAAAGCATGGGTCCGGTTGGTGTGATGGAAAGCACCTGAGTTCCGAATAAAGATAATGGAATTTTCGAAACTCACCTATGGTTCCGAGTTTTGTTTATATCTCAGTATCCTTGTGGACTTACGAAGTTAAAAAGCTGAGTACAGTTCCTAATGTTCTTTGACTTTTTCATGCCTTGCAGCCCTCTTGTAATCCTTACCTTACATTTTTACATGTAGTTAAAAAACTCAGCGCAGTTTCGTTCTGTTGTGCTTAAATACAGGAGAAATTCATAATGATTATTGTATTCTCAGCAAGATTATGTAAGTTCTTTCAATCCTCATTAATTCACTGGTGATATCTGCGCATCACCGAAATTCCTTTTTCGAAGTTGCTGTGTAGCTCACAGAAGATTTTTATCGTAAGTAGGAGTATCACGGTTCTCCAGGACTTCTTCTGACTTAAAACTTAATAGACTGGTTTAAGTCATTGAGTGTGGCACAGAACTGCTTCTTCTTATCTCATTATACTTCCCATCGATTCAGAAAGTTGTATGATGTATCCCCTGCTGAAGAATGCGTCATATGTTCAGGCCTGATACTGTCAGACCGGATGCCATACGTTTCTTTACCGGAGATATATCATTTCGGGTTCAAGGTGGAAAAACCACTAGGATGGCATACCAGCCGTGCCTAACATGATATGCAAGCAAATGGGTGTGGCTGTTTGGAAGAGCAAAGTAAAAATTGTGACTCACCATTCTACATTGGTATTCTATATGTAGTAATGGTGACACATTAAAATTTTCTTATTTGGCTCACATTATTTGAAGGAAAATAAAAATTTTGCAACTAGTTGGTTCGTGTTCGGTCATAAAAGATTCTTTGTACCAACCATTCGTTTTTTTCTCTCAGGTACCAACCAACTCCTGATACATACCATCGTATCCCTCCTCAATTCGAACACCAGGTTTCTCTCTCAGAGCCAATACAGATCAACGCCAACTATCCTATGCACTACATTCAGCGTCAACAACAGCAAAAAATATATGTGAGTCCTAACCACCTTAAGTTTCACTAAAATCATTTAGTGCCTATCTCCACTTCTTGTTGTTTTTTTTTGGATTATTTGACTTCACCGTTAATTTCTTCATTTATTTTATTAACTTCAGACTGATATTAGGTAGGACTAGTAGTTGATATCAGTGAGCAGCAGTTTTATCAGTGGTTTGTATACTAAAAAGGGAAAGTGTAGTGGTGATATTTTTGTAGTAGTTTCATTTTCAACTGATAAAGTTTTTAGAGAAGTGAAAAAAAACTTTCGATCACATAAATAGTACCTCTTCCAGTTTACACCACCATCCACAGTTCCCGTAGCTCTTTCTGTAGCCCAGCCACCTCCTCAAACAGCACTTCCTGTTGCTCCTTTACCGAGGCCATCTTCGGTGTCACCTTGTGAGCAGACATCGCTCAACAGCCCCACACTCACTTCTAATAGCGGATCGGCTTCATGTGAGACTCCGCCTATTGCCGGGGAAGCTATTTCGACCGATCTCGAGGTGATTTTATAATTTTTCGATTTTCACGGTTGGCACATCTCAATTCATCAGGATTAAGCTGTTATATTATTTTTGACTTTTGTATTAACACTTTGGCGTGTGCAGCGCAGTGGTTAATGCTCTGAAATCCACACGTAGTTGTTGATGCGATCCCGCGCTCTGAGCTAATCAAGCCTTCCATCCCACCAGGGTCGGAAAATTGGTAACAGACTTGTCTCAGAAAATATCAGCACGCACTGACTTAGTACATCAGCATTCCACCCACCGCAAGTTGAGTTGAGATATACATTCAGTAACTTTTAACGATGCTTGATGAAGTCAACTGAATGGCGCATCCCTTAGTGAACGTCTACCGCTCCATCCTTTTTCATTTTCTATCACTACTTAAATCCTATAGGTTGAAACGCTATCTGAGTTTGTAGACTCATTGAACTCATTGAGGCAGTTCTTTTGAACAAGTAAACTTTATTCTTTTTTGCTGTGCCTGATTCTACAACAATCCGAGTAGCCACAGTTTTTTAACATTAGGTAAGTTGCGCTGTGATGTTTTATTTGAAAAAACATCAACAGCTAGTTTCGTCAGTTTTTATTTACTGCTTACTAATTTTTAATGGCAGGGTATTACGTGACATATAACTATAATGTTGCTGAGATATTTGCAAAACTCTGGACCGCTGGTGTCTGCGGTGGGGACCGAACACGCTACTACCCTTTCCGGAGGCAAACGTGTTCACCACCACGCCATGCGGGTTCTTCGTTTCAAGTGTTTCACATCCGTGTTATTGACCTATAGGCATTGACGAGTGATTGCTGATAGCTCTTATAGGTCACTAACACGGCTGAAAGACAGACGAAACGAAGGACTCGCGTGCTGTGGTGGTGAACGCGTTAGCTGCCGGAAAGGGTAATAGCGCGTTCGATCTCCACCGCATAGACCTGCGATTCGGAGTTTTGCAAATATCTCAGTGTCATTGTGACTGTATTTCGCATAAGTCGCTATATTTTTTCATTTCATCAAACATAATGATTATTAATTACTAGATGGAAACTTTCGTAAGACGCACACAGTTCTTCATGAAGGAGAATCATTCAAGTTTCAAGTAACAATAAAAGTTCCATGTCGGTTTCATTTTTGACAATGATTAAGCGATAGTTGTTCAACTGTTTACTTCATTGTAACACTATCAAATCAGTTATCATTTTTTAAAGGATATATTTTTCATCGTTCTTTTTGCATGACCCGACATCACATTTATCACACTGTGGGATTCACAGCACTCCTTGCATTCGATTCGTTTCTTCGCATCCGCCATCCACAAAGGTCTTCGAGCATTTTCTGCGTGTGGCTCTAGTTGTTACTTGAGCTTTTTTTGCCCTCATCACAATATGGTCAAGTAGATTCACCCTGGAATTTTAGGATAGCTATGATAGGGCATGCGCACTTGGATTGTGGTGATTTAGCTGGTCCCATACAACTCTTATAACAATTTTTCGACCCCGAAGCGATGGGAACACGATGAGCCCGGAACGGGATCGAATCGGCACCTGGGTAGTTGAGACCGTTAAAGCTAGGATTATAATTGAAAAATAGATTGCTATAAATGTAGAAGCCAATTAAAACACAAAAAGATGTAACTTAACCTGAATAAATGGTTGAATGCATATTTTACCTCAACATTGACCACCATTATCTTACCATGTCAGTGTTTCTCTCCTCACTTATAAATCCGATAAGAATTTGCTGACATTAGAGGGATGAGAAGTTAGCTCGAACCAATTACCAAGTGTGCATTATTCTGCGCCTCTAAGCACTTTACTACACAGCCGTATATTACATATAGTATAAATTTTGGTTAATGGTGTGCTACTTATCCATTACCCAGCTCATTAGTATTTTAGGGTCCGGATAACGAACGGGTAATGTGCATGGCGTGTCGCGGTGTGTATCCGTCAAGACGAAGTCTTACTGGCCATATTGGAAGAAACGAGAAATGTCGTGAAATCATTGGTGAGGGAAATAAATTTTCACGTCTTCTATCTTTGAACCAATCTTTTTTATTCAGATTTTAACGTTTTTAGAATGGTTTTTTGTGCATTTATGTTAGTGCACATTTTTATGATAATGTTAGTTGTAAGTCGATATTGGCTCAGTTTAAGCCTTAGTAATAATAGTGCGAGTTGGCCTAAGTCAAATAGTTATTGTGCAAATTAATTCTTATTAGAAATACTGAAGAAACGGCTAGCAGACGTTCTTTTACCGTTGCACTTAATCAGGGAATTCCTAACGAACCTCTAATATACGACTTTCGATTCAAAAGTTTCGTGACTAATATGCGGGACGGAGACGAGTAACTGTCGTAGATGGTGACTACCTGAGGACGTTATATAAAGCCACCCTATATACTACAGCTAAACGCTATGAAGAAGACAAAGTTATATGTGAAAGAGATAAATAGAATAACTAATAGCAATAATAGAAGAATAATAATAAATAGAATAGCTATAACTGGCAGATAGGAATCTAGCAAAGAGAAACGCAGAGCATGGGCCTCCGTGGCGCAATGTGTAATTCACGAGCCCACGAAAAGGGAAATTGTTGTTCGATCTGGCCTGGGGTCGTAGTTTTGCGATTATCCCAGCATTATTATGGCATATATAAAACAGTACTTTAGAAACGGCCCATCCTTATTTGGAAATCAAAAAACTATGCAAAGAAAAACAACAAATAGACAAATGCTCGATATTTCACACGTGTGTTACGATTGGCTGCCTTTTCTTTAAAATCACTCCTTTAATCTCTCTAATTTTCTCTTCTTTCGTATAGTGTTCGTGTCAATTTTTCACTTCGATAAAACGCAAAGGTCGATATTTCTGTTTAGTAAAAAACCACACTTTTACAACCATTGTCTGGTAGGGTGGTCGGTTTCATGTGTGGCTTAGGCAACGTCTTACCTATAACTGGTCTTCTCTTCCCATTGTTGTGTTGGATACCGGTTGAAGATGGTTTCTCTTGGAGCTTCAAGACAGTAGTGTTGTGGAGTACGCACATCTGGACAATAGCGTCTTGCCGGCCGTACGCTACATACACTGAACTAGCCGCATAGAGATCTTCGTCATAGAACGTTTTTCCATCTTTTTTTGGATGATAAGGACTACCCGTTTTATGGTCTAACTTTGATATGCCATGATATAAATGGATTGTAAACAATGATAGACAACGCATTTTTTCGACAAGAATGCCACGAGCAAATTTTGCGCCGAGAAAAGTTCACGGTGAAATTTCCGTTTTGGAAGTTGGAATCATTATAACTTCTTCCATTCTCATGAAATCATTATACCAAACCATTCACATCTATCGTCCATCTTTTTGTCGATCGTAGAATTGCTCGAGCGCAATCCATTAAAATGTCCTTCTGTGTCTTTTAAGTGGAGTAGTCGAGGCTTTGGCTTGCTCGAAAGACTCACTGACCGCCATGATCTTTCCTCTAGGGTTTTCTTCAAGAACTCTAACCATTGAGTCTGTGGCTTATATATCGGTCAATGTTTAAACGCGTTACTTATCTCGCCCACCTGATTTTCAATATTTTGTCGTACGTAACGACGTCTCTGATCTTCTTCGATCGTTAACGTAAGTCAGAACTTCGGATTCCTTATCTCCCTTATGTGGTACGGAATACTCTGAGCAGTGTCCTCCCGACTGCGGGTTCAATAGGGCTGAGTGATCTTTCTTCCTGATTATGTAGGGGCTAGGTTTTCGATAGGAATAAAACGGCAAGAAGAACCAAAGAGTCTAAAGACATAGGCAAAATATTTTTTGCTCTCTCCACTACATCTTTGACGCTCTTGTGTGCTTCCAAAGCTGTTCACTTTTCCCTGTTTAGCTCTACGGCTAAATTGTTCATCGTTTTGACTTTTCGACGCAGATACTCATAGCTGTAGCACTTGAAGCTATCCATTAAGCATGAATGCTAATATGAATGGTGCGTTGGGAAGGATCCATTCCTCATCAACATCGTTTTGGGAGATTTAACCGAAGACCAATCTTTAACGAGCATTATCAAAGTCGACAACCATTCGTTTCTCCTGACTAATGCTTGTTGTCATAAGAACGATGTCATTAGCTAAGCGAAGATGGGGTAATTGCCCACCATCAAGTTTCACCCCCATTTCCCATTCCAGAGTACACATGACGTTCTCGATGGCGGCCATAAATTATTTTAACGAGATGATATCGGCTTGCCTAACTCCTTTTTGACGTCGATCTTAATATCTTTATAGGAAGGTGATATTTTGATCAGGAGATTTTCATGTAATTCATTAGATGCTCAGAACGTCAATGATTGCTTCTACTTCAACTATGTTGAAAGCTGGTTACTATCCTTTAACCTCAGCGTGGTTAATCAATACTTTCTTGGGTGGTTAAGCTAGCACGAGGTTGTTATACAGACTCTTGTTCGGCTAGCGTTTCGACGTCTATGCCCTCGCCAAAGCCGCAGGATGTTTTTGCATAGTCGTTTCGAGTCGATTATTCTTGAATAGAGCACCTATATCCAATAGCATTTTCATTAAAGTGCAACGCTGCGTGCCATTTAATGAAATACTGACTACAGCAGAATGCACTGCCGCCAACTTAAAAAGACACCTCCAAGTGATGGAACTTCATTCAAGTGGTGCTCCACTTCACTGGCTTGAAATCGATGCGATAAGGAACGCCCACGTCACGAAGACGAAGCTGTGGGCAGTCGATATGGACCTCTCAGCTCTAATGAAGACGAATAAGTTGAAGCATTAACCAAATAAATGTTTTATAGCAACCCGGTGTTGACTTCATTATTCAAGAAGTTAAATGTCGATGAAGATGAGACAGAGCGGTCTCTTGTACTCTGGACGGTTTCGAAATTTTGCTTGCTGACATAGATTTTCTTCATCCATTGTGCTGTTACTCCTGTTCAGGATGACTGGACTAAACATTTTAATTTCTAGACAAGAAACATGAAGCACATTTAGAAGTTGTTCCCGATGTCGTGGAGGTCTGCCTTTTTGATCAGTAACACGATCTTGCCGGTCTTATGTTGAATAGGATAGGTAACGTGTTGAGCCAGTGTGTTGATAAGGGCTGGTGGTAGATTTCTCAGATGTGGTATTTGCGTCTTGTTCTGTGCGGGATTGTGAAAATCCATCGTTTTCATTTTCATGCAAAAAAACGTGAGTGTGGTCGCTAAGGAGATTTGAGTAGCAGTCTTGGATGACTTTCTCTAGTGTCTTTCTGCAAGCCGTAAGTGTTTTGTCTATGCGTTGAAGTACAACACTTTTAGTCTTGTAATCGACTGTGTCATCAGGTTCTCAATCGAGGGATCAGATGCAATTGGTCTCGCATTATAAGTACACATTGTTACCTTAGTCGTCCCAAACATCACAGTCCATAATGGTCTTGAGAATCTAGCAGCATCTTCACTGTCGTCCTATCTCTGCCCTATCGATAGCTTTTCGCGGTCAGAGCCGCTTATCTATTGTAGTGACTCCTAGGGAGAAACGGGGCCTGTTTGCTTGAAGAGATTCTGAACCTCTTGCCATGTGCTTGCCAATTACTTGATTGCAGGATTTTGGCGGAATTGACTAGTATAATACGAAATGCATATGCACAAAAATATCCGCACATACATGTGTTTAAACTGCTAAGCTTACTCGATATTAATAAATTAGCATATTCGACCAACCCGAATCGATGGTCCACAGTTCTTCGTCTTCTTGATGTAACGTCTTCATCGTCGTACCGAGACGGATCTTCTTCAGTGTAGCACATCTTGAATGATGTCTCACCCGGGAGCGCTCTTTTATACAGAGCGGTTGTTCTGGATATGGCTATCCACTGATAATAACTTCTTTTCCAACAGATAACCCAACCTGCACCAGTCGCTATCATGTCAGGAACATCAGGAACATAAAGTCCATGCCATGGATCTATCTCAGGAAAGCGTAAAATCACTTCCGTCCAAATTTAACCTTTATTAGTTGACACCTCCTTAACTAGACATCCTCAGGGCTAACCGGTCAGCGATACCTCAATGATGATCTCTGAACAGCAGGGCATTATTATTGTGAAATGGGAAAATTGTACGGAGAATCTCCTCGTTTGCGAGTGACATTAACCACTGGGAACGAACCTATTCTTCTACACGAAAACATTTGAGAACACCTTGTGCAACGAGTACTGTAATTTTTACAGAAAATGAGATGCGAAACTTTGTCTATTCAATTATAACTCACCTCTTGCCAATAACCACTCTTTCAACCGTTTTGTCATGTAGAGAGCTGAAAACGCCATCAAAAAATCTGCGGTCTCCAGAATAATTGAATTTTAACCTCACCGAGTGCTTAAACATGCATCGTATTGTCAAAGAGACCAATATATAGATGCTTTATGTTCCGCTTAATATGAGTCGAGATAGGACCATTTGAATTTGAAAGCCTAAAATTGACATTGACAACGAAATCTCTTTGTTGATCAGTCAAGCTTAAGGGTTAAATCTACTGGGAATCTCTTGGAATAAATATCATTACCTAGTAAATCAGCTTAAGTTTCAATTTTTCGTTTGGTTGTCTACTTTTCATTATTTACTGTGGACCCTAGTATTTCATTAACAAAATGTCAGGTCGTAACTATCTGGATCAAGTGGCGATGGGTGCTAACCCGATAGCTCCAGGAACAGAGAACGCAATCAAAGCCGGTGCGTTGACCAATGGACACGATGGACTTAGCCCTATTTGTCCACACTGTGATCGTTTTATCAGTCATTACAAGGTAACTTAATCCTCAATTTTTTAACAAAACTCCATTACTCCCATCTGCGCACATGGTATGGAACGTTGCTTGTTTTCCATTGCTGCGTTTATAGGGTAATATTAGAAGGCACATCAATCAATGCGGTAAGAACGACAGCCCACAGAAGAGACCAAGACCGGACAAGGACAGGCGAAGAGATTCAAAGCGACGACGACACGAAGAATCTCTTCTACCGCACGTGTTGCACGAAGGATTCGATCCGGGTATTTACTTCACTATTTTTCCCTATTCAAAATAGACACACTGCTTCTAGTAAATGATTCGTTCCATGTAAACAATGCTCTTGTTCATTCAGATTTTAAAATTAGAATCAGTGAGAAGAAATCAGTGCTGATTCTAAAGAAGAAGTTTCGGACCCAGTTAACAAGTTCAGTTATTCCTTCTAACTACTTAGAGTGGTAGGACATAATGTCTTCGGTAGGGATTTGTAAAGTGTTTTATTTTACACACAAACCCTGCGGACATGTGCTGGATAGAGATAGGATGAAATAAGTAGGATAAACCACACACTTGTAATCTTATAAAACCACCCTAATCTGTTGCTTTGCAACGGCTGAATAAGGGCTGGTATTCTTATCCCTATAAATTAATCTTGCTTGTAAAGGAACACCAGGTGGATGTAGCACAGTGGTTAGAGATGACCTAGAATGCACCATGGTTCTTCGATCTAACCTAGACCTCAAACTAACCAAGCCTCTCATACTTTCGTGGTCTGCAGTGATGCCAGTCTTGTCTGCAAAGATGGAAGCATTGACTTAATATATCGATAGGTGCATTGTTTAGGCCAAATATGCGTTCAGTCCCTTTATAACGCTTAATGTCGGCTTTACAAACGATTTTCGTTCTTTAAAAATGTGGTTCACTCGAAATTATAAAATTTTCGTATTTTATTTAAAGATTAGCAAAGTGCAATAAATATTGACGTAGTTTGAAAAATCTAAACTAGATCAAATTAGAGATAGTTGTTCAATGTTTGATAGTTTTTTGGAAGTCTTAGCTCAAATCTGCAATAAATAATGACAGTGATAATGACTGAGCTTCGGTGAGCCCAGTCTGCACAACATTCTCTACTTTGTTTTAAATCTCATCTTATCCAATATTGCAGTTCTTGGGGCTCAAAATTCATCGCTCATCGGTTCTCCAGTTATGTCGCCACCACTCGGCTCGTATTTGCCTTCCCACGAACATGACATTCAGGATAACACCACATATGCGAACAATCATCCAACTGACCAAGTCAGTTCTGTAGAATCCGCCTACTTACTTTCTGATATCTTTTTATGAATACATTCTTTTTTATATGGAGATCACAATGTGATTACGGCTGTTGATACAAACAATAATGATATACCTAATTGATCAACAGTGTTTCAGCAAATACAATTACCGAGTGACCCGTCTCCTCCAGGTGGTCCTAGAAAAGAAGCTGATCCTCCAGAGGTGAAATTTTCACTTTAACATCTGAATCACACAGATTATTTCGCCTATAGCTCCTGTATAATGCTCGTGTGGCGCAGTGGTTGGAGGCGCCACTGCGAGACGCAAGTGGAATCGATCCCCGCGCCCAGGACCCACCAAGCCTTCCATCCCTCCGGGGTCGGAAAATTGGTGCCAGATTTGTCTGGGAGGATAGCAGCACTGGCTAGACACATCGGTTATTGTAAAGGCCAGATATGCATTCAATCACCTTTAACGAAATTTAATGAAGTCGAATGAATGGCGCATCCCTCAGGGAGTCGTCAAAACAACAGCTTTATCCTTTATCCTTTATAGCTCCTGTATATATAACAGAATCATTTACCTAACCTCTCGTACACAATCCTCAGTAGCCAATTATTAGTCTTGGAAATGGATATATGTGATAACTGTCTGTGCCATTGACTTGATTCCATGAACTCATCATGGTAAAATCTCACATTCTGTCAACTGATGAATGCGTAATAAGCCAGAAGTTCAAACAAGCACTACGCCCATATAAATTATTTTAACGAGCTTCTTATGTTTCTTAACGAAAACATTAATGACCTGGGACTTCACTTCAAAGTAGGATGTCATCATGAATGAGCCAATATGAATGTTTCCAGCAACGATTAAACAAAGTAAAGCAAAGATGATTATCTACCTAGAAGTTTATAACGATAATGTGTATTTCTGGCGCAAATATCGCTGCATCAGAAGTGTGTTTTGAAAACAACACCAGTGGTCATGTGAACGACAAAAAGTGCCGCATTACTTGACTATGCGTCGCGCTACTTGAAAGGATCTGCTGAGAAACACGTTATCATATTTGGGATTAACAATTCACGTAGTGGGAGCACAGACACTTTTTATAATTCTCCTGTTAAGTCCACTCTTTTCTAGGATGCTTACATTTGTGATAGCTGTGAATTTGTTACAATCTACAAAGGTAATATGAAGAGGCATTTGAACACCTGTCATCCTGCGCCTGATTGTAAAGATCTCAAAGGTGAGTTCTAAACATACGACTATTTTTGTTGAACTTACATTATTGCACTTTGCTTGTTTTATATGCTAAACTGCTATTACTTTTTATTTGTGTATTAAAAAGGGCACGTGTGGTGCAGTGGTCGGAGGCGCTGTGTGACACACATAGGTTCAATCGCCGCGCCCAGGGCCCACCAAGCCTTCCATACCTCTGGGGTCGGCAAATTGGTACCAGACTTGTCTGGGAGGATTGCAACATTGGCTCGATACATCGGTAGGCCACTGCAAGTCATTGTAAAGGCCAGATATGCATTCAGTCACTTACAAACGATGCTTAGTGAAGTCGAATGCATGGCGCATCCCTCAGGAATTGAACAGAGCGGACAGCTTTATCCTTTGTTTTTTTATGTATTAAAAGTGCGAATAGTATGTTTACAAATGATATTATATTGTTCGTAAAACAGATGAAAATAATAATTCTGGTGACTACATGAGATCTTTGGGGTTTTTACGTTGTAGTAAATACTAATTTCTGTTTCCTTTACTGTTTTTTTTTGCTGTTTCCTTACACAACCACTGTGGTGCTTAGTTCGCTTGAAAACTAACTTGTTTAATGTTACTTTTTATTTACTGCCTTTTACTAGCTTTCACGACAGGGTTTGTGAAACAATCACAGTGATGCTGAGATATTTGCAAAACTCTGGACCGCAGGTGTCTGCGGTGGGAATCGAACGCGCTGTTGTCCGTTCTGGGGAGTTACGCGCTCACCACTACACCATGCGGGTCCTTCGTTTCGCCTCTCTCTCAGCTAGGTCTATTGAACAGCTATTTATTTGAAAAGTATCACTGTTTGAATGACTTTCTGCCAGAAAAACGTCTGAACCTAGTTTAACACCACAACTAAATCATGAATATTCTGTGAGATCTTGTAGATAAGATGGTATGACGTGTTAATAAAAGTTTCGTACCGAGCACCGATCCCATAATGTTTCCTCATCTGGTAGTACGCTTCGATTTGCTTACGCAGGAATACCGCGATATCCTCATCTTGCCGAAAAGAACTGAAAGGCCTCTCAGTGTAGAACATTTGTTTCGCAATTGCTTTGAAGCTATATCAAGAGTTTTGAAAGCTCCTCAAGAAATAAAAGCATGGAGACCTCTTTTTATATACTGGGAACTTAGTTTGCTTAAGGTGGCGCGAAGTTGGTATCTTTCTTTAGTATGAGGTTGCTCAAAGTGTATGGACAACACATGGGTGACCTTACTCCATTTAAGGAGTTAAACGACTCTAAATAAGGCGAAATCTCTGAAATGTCGACCATCGTGTTTGAAAAGGAAGAGATACCAGCCTCGCGCTTGTTTAAACTAGGAAAGTTCGTAAGATATCTTCGTTTATTCATGCCTAAAAGAATGTCGGCCTTTCAGATTATTTCTATATATATATATATATATATTCTTTTTAAGAATTTTAATAACATAACTGATTGTAGAATGGGATCGTAAGTTGGAGAGTATGCGAGCGTCGATGTTGGGCATGAGTCGCGCGGAAATGATAGATCGACTGAACGCCCATCGAATGAACTCCACTCGGGGACGGAAGCCCAGAAACAAGAAGCACGACGACGGTGCTCAGGTCAGCTTATACAACTAACACATTCATATCATCGACCTATCTATTTTCCCTCACTGTAATAGCTCCCACTTTAGAAATTTCTCATATAACTTTTCACTAGTCAACTTCTGTAGTTTCATGTGCATAGTGTTAGCGTTTGAGCTCGTTAACGTTCCAGAGATTCAGAATATTTATCTAATATGTCTTTTATTTACTTTAAGAACACGTTAAAGAAAAAGTGTTTGAAAGCGTATCACACTTGAGTTTTAAGGCAAAGTCCATTTTATTGTTTTATTCCTATATCTTGTATTTAACAAGTATTTAAAGGAATTCCATCAACTTTTCGGTAGCTGAAAAGTAAACCATATCTGAACTATAATAATGCTTGCTTTTTACTTGCTGCCTGTTACAATTTTTCACGGCAGGGTATTATACGAAATACAACCACAACGATGCTGAGATAACTGCCACGACCGACTTTCTATTAACCTCGGCATTGATCAAGTGATTTTCTTCGTATTTTTGTTGAGCAAACGCGAGGTGTTACTATTCGAAGAAAATACGAAGAAAATCACTTGATCGATGCTGAGATATTTGCAAAACTGCAGGTCCGAACTGCAGGTCTGCGAGGGGGAGCGAATGCGCTATCGTTCCATTGCTATCTAGCGCGTTCGTTTCCCACTGCAGACAACTGTGGCTCGGAGTTTTGCAAATATCTCAGGATCGTTGTGGTTGAACTGTAATATTCCATGAAAACGAAAAGAATCTTGTTGGCAATGATAAAGCTGTAGTGTCCAAACAAGTTTCAGCTTGTGAGCAGTCTTCTTTTCGCATATGATTTCATTTTAGTTAATGTTTGTTTTGTATGGAATTATAAAACCTGATACAAAATTAAATTATTTTAAAAGGAAATCAAGTTTCAAATAAAATTAATGGCACACTTGACACTTGAGCGGCCCGTCCCGTTGTGCGTACATCGCTGTCCGACACCCAGGAACACCTCCCAGCCACGATGAGGCGGTAAACCGTCGGGAGGAATAGGATTAATACAGATGAAAAAGTGAAATTCGCACTATTCCTTATCATTGAAGACCGACATCAATTCCTTGGCCTTGATTGACGTTTGAACCTTTTCTTCGTGATAAGGTTATTAGCGTCTTAAGGTGATAAGTTATCATTTTGAATGTGGTCTGCTTTCTACCATTACAATGCTTTTGTACTCCAAGTAGTGAGCGTCATCGTATCAGTGCAGAACCAAGAACTTTATAATAGTCGTTCATAAGTACATGAAGGCACAAACGGAAGCATGTATCAGGGAGTGCTCCCATAGTCCAAGCAAGTTTTTTATCGTGTTGCATAGAACTAAAATCTTATATGTAATACATTAGCACATAAATAACCCTATGCAGGGGTACCAACGTATGCGCGTAGTACAGTTGACCGTATGCATTGTGTCCAACACGCACCAGCGACGAATTAGGTGTGGTCCTGTGAAGTGGTCCTTGAAAATCAGAGTCATTCACGTACTTTTGTAAATACGTTGGTGTAAAACGGTGACTCCATTATCGCAGAAATATTGTAATACATGTAATTGCTGGAATATTTATACCAATTCGTTGAACGTTTTTCATGGTTTTAACAGTGTTTTTTGCTCTTCATTTTTTTTCTATCAACTCGTTCAGGCAGTGGTGCAAGCCGATTTCTCTCAAATGCACTATAACTACGACATGATGAACAGCAGCTTCCCACAGTTATGACTTTGTTCCCATTCATCAGCTCATTCATTGTTCGGATACACTGCCATCGCTTTTGTTTTTGTTTCCTTTCCTCTGTCTAACTAAGAAGTGCAGTTTCTATCTATGTTATCTGCCCCGTTTCATATCATGTCGTTTCCCATGTCAGTACAAAATTCAGGGATATTGTTTCGTCTTGTTGCTCATGCAGTATTTCATATAGCCAATTTGTTGCTCTTCTTTTCTACTTTTCATCCATCCATTTGTCTTATCGTCACCTAAACATATTCAGACGTTTTTTGTAGTGTTTACTTAGTTAAAAGCGATTTATCAGACTGAATATGTGAACACTTGGTTTATCGACGTCTTCGCGTTGCACAACGTCCGCCCATTCATCGCTTCTTCACGACGTCAAGTCATTCGTGTTTTCTTTCTATTCTGTAAAACCATCTGCTTAGCCAAAGCTCTTCGTCTTTTCTCATAAAATAGTCATATAAAAATATTTAAAATCGCTGTTCTGTTTAGGCGAAAAAATCTCTTAAACTTCTCAAAACCAAGTGCTCGACAGTATACTTGCAGTGCATGTCGTTGTAGTTGTTAGATGATTTCCAACTATTCTCTCTGATCTGATGCCATAAATTGCAATGAGAATGTTGTTTCTGTTGAACTCAGTACTTTTTCTCGAGAAAACCCGGCCATCTACCTATATTCCATTGCGATTTCTGATCATCATCCGTCCGAAAATCCACCATCCGAGTTCTCGTGTTCTGATTTTGATGTCTCCGATTATCGCTGCCATGCTCCTATGAAGGTCTGATTCTTTGCATTTGCCTTGATTATATCATATCACTTAGGTGAATGAGACAATTTATGCTATATCTAGTTGAGATTCTTTGTCAATAGATGTTAATTTTTTCTATTCGTGTGAGTTTTTCTTTTCACGTCGAGAGTGTTGCTACTTCATACTACCCTCTCTGGTAATCCGACGACGATTCGATCCCATTACAGCTCATGTTTCTCATTTTTTCTCCTTCTCCTTCAGTGGTGCCTGAGAAAACGGAAGCCATTGTGTTATGTTTGTGATCTGTACAGAAAAGATATCTAGCATAAAGTGTTTTATTCTTTTTTCCTCCTTTTCTTTCAGATTTGGAGATTTTAAAGTAGAATTTTAATATTGCCTCCTTCATACATTTCGATGCAATTTTTTTTTCTTTATAATAACGATGAAGCATACAAAAAACTTTGTAAGCTTCAAAATATGAGGAAAGTATATACATCTTTGAGATAAACTTAGAGAAGGTATATAGTATGGCTAAGCGGAGGAAAAAGTTAAGGGAGCTGAGGAGTCCTTATGTGTTCTCTCATTTTTGCTACCTCTTCATTTCTATTGCACCTGTTGTTTTTCATCTATCAATATCTTTCCTACCCTTTATTTCTTTTCCTTTCTTATTATGCAAACTTCTCATCTATTATGAAGAGTATTATGTAAGTGGTTTTCCTCATTTTTTCTTTACACACTAAAACATAGAGCGAAGTTACAATCAGTTCTGTTCTCAGTAATCCAGAAAGTAGTTACACGACGTTTTCACTACAATGATAACTGTTCTTGTGTTTTTTACGATTTTCAGATCGCACTGTTCTCTTTCAAAGATGATTGTTCAGATACTGAACGCATCAGATTCCGGCAAACGACGTACTTTCGTCGTTGTTGTTTGAAACACCAAGTTCTTTCGAATTTTATCTGATGCAAACGACTAGGCAAAATTCGTGATTGTACGAAGAAAAATCGACTGCGCCAAATATTCAAATGTGACCATTACGCAACAAGCTCTCAACGAAACACGAAAGACGAGGTGTTCGTTCAATATGCCAAGTGTGCTTCAAAAATGACCTAAGAGTGATGTAGTGTGGGAGGCACCTGAATGGAACTGTCTAGCGTCATGCTCTGAAATATCGTGCATAAACTGCTAAATTACGGTTCATTATTCTGGTATAGGTGTTCTCGATTTTACTCATTTTCTTTCCATTTCTGGGCGATGGAAAAGCATAATTTTCAATTTCTGAGCATCCTATGGATCAAGAAAAGATGTCGTCCGATGCGTAAAGTCTTGGTAAAATTAAGGAAAAAGCTCTGGGCGTTGTCGAATCCTTGAGGGATGTACCATGCATTCGACTTCATCAAACGCCGTTAGATTTAACTGAATGCATATTTGGCCTATAGAATTACTCGATGGGGCCGGCTGTTGCATCGATACAATGTTGCTCTCCTCCCGGACAGGTCTGCTACCAATTTCCCGAACCGGGAAGGTTGGAAGGCTTGCTGAGTCCGGTGAGTGGATAGGACGTCTGTTGTCTATTAAATTGCCATATCTATTGTAAGGCGCCGCTAACCACTGCGCTACACTGGCCACATTGCTGATAAGATAACTTAAACCCTATCAGACCAGGAAGTGGAGCAGTGAGTTGATGTGGAACACCTGTGTGGATGCATGAAATTACAAGTGAATTCCACAAAGACGATGTTTATAAGAAACGGCTTCGTACCTAACAACAAACCGCTAGTGTCAATGGCTATGCCAATGGTTTAGCCCTTCATTTTTACGGAATGACACGCTATGTAAAAACAGGAGTGTCGAGGAAATAGCCGATCAGTGACAAACGGAAGCATGACATCCATCCCCTTGATGGCCAACTTTCTTCAAAAAGCGTAAAAGAGCAAAGAATGAAGCAGACGACGTTGGCCAATTCCTTAGGAAACCGCAGTGCACCTGATTTCATCAATCTTCATGCAGGCGTTTGAAAACATATTTGACCATTAGAATAACTTGCGGTGATCCGCCTGTGTAGCAGTTCAGTGTCATTGTTTACCTATCTGATACCAATTTGCCTACCTCGAAATAATTGAAAAAATTGGTTTGCATGGAGCTCAATGTCTACCGAATCCCAGGACCGAAACGATGACCTTGTATCTATTGAATAGGATCTCTACCCACTGCTCTACAGCGTACAAAGGTCTTATAAAGTTTTGGTTCTCTACAGATGTGAGAAATTATTCACGTGTGAGTGATTCACTTGATAATTAAAAGCGCAAAAATCATTAAACAATATGAAGCTGGTATGTGCTTGAAGTTTTTGGACGTCGCAACTAAGCACAACATTCGTTACTACGTCTCAGCAAAAATACCTGTTCCTTATTCTGATTAATAAATCAGGTTGGAAGTCTCGTTGGCTCAAGAAAAAAGTACCTTTGTATTTCACACTATTTTTTCTCTGTAATATTTAAGGTGGACTATGTAATTTATCCAAATGAAAGGCAATCAGAGATTATGAGCTGCTATTGCCGTTAAAGATATATGTTTAAATTTTAAATTTTAAATTTAAAAATCTTCCATGGTTCCACAAATGAGGTAAATTCGTTACCCGTAGAGGACACGCTGTTAAGAGACTATGCACATCAAGGACTAGAAGTACTTCATCATTCGCTAAGCAGTATCGAAAAAAATTACTTGAGCGTAATCTCTATTGTGCCAACCTCACGGGAGCCTTTCTTTTTGTTCAAGATTGTAAATCACTAGTTGTCTTCACAAGAATGTATGTGTCGACTTCTCTAGAAGCGGAAACTTTTATTTGTTGTACTTCTCTCATCCACAGTTTCTGGTAGTGTAATAAACTCGTAAAACATACTACAGTTGGACTACTCTGTAGAAGGAATCTACCCAATAAATTCCTTCTTTTGTTGAATTGAAAGATCGAGCATCCTGCGTTTCTCATTAGTATCCTCATGTGTATCCTCAGGTAATTCTATCTCTCCGGACGCCTACAACTCAATAGTACCTAAGCGTCTTAACTTCTAGTTATTTTGCCTATTATTTTTAAACGGTAAAGCATTATTTGAAATACAACCACAGGGATACTGACACGTGAGCCTCAGCTGGACTTTGAAGCCGGAACTATGCTTTCGGGACGTTCACGTGCTACCCACCACGCCAACCAAGGCCCCCTACCCTGCCTAACTATTTCTCCCATTTAAACAGCACCTACTTCTATGATTCGATTCTAAAGCATAATTCAGTTAGTCCTTATTTGTCAAGAAAATTTACGAAATCAACGGTGAATATCTTTGCTACACCTATTAAGAGTTTAAAATTACATTTCCACATAGGGAAACAATGTTTGTTTCGATTATCTCACCAACGCTCCTCTCCAACTCATGTAGGAACTTCCTAACTAGGCAATCTTCAAAATTTTAAGAAAATCGACTCCACCAGCATTCTACTACCTTCATGAAAAAGACGAACTCTTCAAACAGCAGCTGAAACAGCGCGCGAGATGTCAGAAGACCTTTGTGGGCGATGAATGCGAGGAAAACGAATCGAATGGAAGAGCCGATGTGATCCACACAGTAGATGTGATAACGAATCATGTAAATGATATAATAATACTAACCCAGAGCAGAGTTATCTATATCATCCGTAGTTTCACTAATTACCAGGTCATCGGAGGTGACACTGATAAGCTCGATTTCTTTGTCAGGCCTTCGAGTTGTTCAGTGGTTCCTCATTTTCGGAGAAACAGAGACATCACTACACATTTTTCTCTGACCCAAAGATTTTGCCTAAGCGTTTTACTACTTTTTGTGAAAAACTACCCAATATAGCTTGCTCCGCCGTTGCACAGAGTTGCCCTACACCGGGTTTCTAGATGAGAATGTTGCTTTCATTCTTGGTCTGGGTGACCTGGCTGGACAATAAAATTCCCGCTGTACATTCTATTCGACAGCCAAGAGCACACCCCTCAGCCACGATAGTGTCGTAAACATAGGAAAAGAGATGATTAGAAATGGAAAGCAAGTAATCTGTGTTTTTACAATTTTACAATGTTACATTTTCTGGAAAGTTCTTTTCTGCCTACTAAATTGGCGATCGACAAATGTGAGTGGACTATTGTCGACATTGTTTACGTTCCTGGGGAAAAGAATGTGTTTATTGAAGCATATTTTAGGCTATTTTATAACAGTTCTTTTT